CTGGGAATATATCACATATTTACTAAGTCATATTCAACATATTGACTTTAAGCATTAAGTCATATATGTGCTGTCTTGTGTGAGAACGGGTTGCTCAGAGAATGGTCGCCTGTGAGAATAGATGCCATTGAAAATCTATTCAATGGCTCTTGGGCGACCATTCTCATGGGTGACTATTCTCATGAGTGACCATTCTCGTGGATGACGACTCTCATCGGGGGTCCATTCTCATGGGCGACCATTCTCACGGGCGACCATTCTTACGGGCGACCATTCCCCATGGCCGGCCATTCTCACGGGCGACCATTCCCCATGGGGGACCATTCTCACGAGCGACCATTCTCAGGGGTAACCATTCTCACGGGCGACCATTCTCATGGGGGACCATTCTCATGGGCGACCCTCCTCACGGGTGACCATTCACTTGGGGGCCCAATCTCACGGGCGTCCATTCCCTTGGTCGACCATTCTCACAGTCGACTATTCTCACGGATGACCATTTTCTCGGGCGACCATACTCATTGGGAAGTATTCACAAGGGCAACAGTTATTACAGGCGACCATTCTCACGGGCGAACATTCTTACATGTGACAATTCTTATGGGCGACCATTCTTTTGGGCTACCATTCCTACAGGCGACCATTCTCATGGACGACCATTTTCACGGGCGACCATTCTCATGGGCTACCGTTCTCACGGCCGACAATTCTCACAGGCGACCATTCACATAGGCGATAATTCCCATGATCTTCAATTTTCACGGGCTACCATTCTCAACGTCGACCATTCTCAAGCGACCATTCTCTCTGTCGACCATTCTCACGGGCGACTATTCTCACAGGCTAATAATTTCATGAGCTACTATTCTTACGGACGACCATTTTCACAGGCAACCATTCTCCCTGACGATCATTCTCATGGGTGATCATTCTCCCAGGCGACCATTCCCTCAGGCGACCATTCTTATGGGCGACCATTGTCACAGGCGATCATTCTCTTAAGCGACCACTCTATCAATCGACCATTCTTATGGGCGAACATTTTCACAAGCGACCATATTTATTGGCGACCATTTTAACTGGCGACCATTCTATCAATTGAACATTTTCATAGGCGAAAATTCAAATAAAAAAAATTCAAATTCAAATGTTTATTCAGGTAAAGTACATACATACAAGAGGTTATACAGAAATTGATAGATTTATAGATAGAGCTAGTACATACAATGCCTAAAGCCACTATTACGCAAAGCGTTTCGGGCAGGAAAAACATTGAAGACTAAAACTTAATACTAATTGAGATTAAAGTATAAAATGTGTTGAGAACAAATAAAAATAAAAAAGGGGGAACATGGCAGAAAAAACAGCACAAATACAATTAAGTCGACAAACAGCGTTGTTTAAAAAATAACAGACATGGATTGACAATAGAGGGGTAAGGTAAGTTACAGGGAATTTATTAGGTAGTGTTTAGTTTTTATCTTAAACTGGTTGAGATAGGTACAGTCTTTAACATGATTTGGAAGGTCATTCCACATTCTGGGTCCCTTGATTTATAGAGCATTTCTAGTTTGATTAAGTCGTACTCTTGGAATATCAAAACGGTATTTGTTTCTGGTGTGGTGCTCATGGGTTCTGTTACAACCTTCAATGAAGCTTTTGAGGTCAGGATTGGCATTACAGTTCAGCGTTTTGTATATATATAATACACATGAGAGGATGTGCAGTGACTTAATATCTAACATATTCAGAGATTTGAGTAGGGGTACCGAGTGATGTCTGGGGCCAGAGTTTGATATTGTCCTAATAGCAGCTTTGTGTTGAGTAATTAGAGGATGTAAATGATTTTGGGTAGTAGAGCCCCAAGCACAAATACCATAGTTGAGATATGGATAGATGAGAGAGTAATAAAGCGTCACCAGGGCCGGGCGAGGTACATAATATCTGATCTTAGAAAGAATGCCAACAGTTTTTGAAACTTTTTTTTATATATTTAGAATGTGTCCCTGGAAATTCAGCTTGTGGTCTATGAGAACGCCAAGGAATTTACCATCTATTTTGTTACAAATTTGGGTATTGTTTATCCTGAGATTTATTTGATTAGAGGATTTATTGTCAAACAGAATATAGAAAGTTTTGTCAATGTTAAGGGTGAGTTTGTTGGAAGTTAGCCAAAGATGAACTTTATTTAGCTCAGTATTCACTGTGACATTTAGAGCAAGGGGGACAGGACTGGAGTAAATGAAGGTTGTGTCGTCAGCAAATAGAATTGGTTTGAGGTGTTGGGAGGCATTTGGAAGGTCATTAATGTAGATGAGAAAGAGAAGAGGGCAAGTATGCTGCCCTGAGGAACACCAATGTTGATGGGTAGGGTGGGAGAAATTGAATTATTCACAGAAACATACTGGAGTAAGGTGTAAGGAAACATACTGTCAGTAAGGTAAGATTTGAGGTATTGCAGGGAGTGACCTCTGACTCCATAATGATGTAATTTAGGAAGAAGGTTTTGGTGGTTAACAGTGTCAAAAGCCTTACGCAGATCCACAAATAACCCAACAGGGAACTCATTTTTATCAAGAGCTGCATGAATCAAGTTAATCATACTAATAAGTGCATCGTTAGTGTTTTTTTGGGGGGGTCTGAAGCCATATTGACAAGAGCTAAGTATATTGTGTTTGGCTAGATAAAAGTAAAGCTGCTTGTAGATTAGTTTTTCAAATATTTTTGATAAGTTAAGCAGGATTGATATAGGTCTGTAGTTGTTAACATCTGTGAGATCACAACATTTGTGGACAGGGGATACTCTCGTTTTTTTTAGAATATCTGGAAAGGTTTGGAGTTCAAGTGACTTGTTGAAGAGCAATGCAATAGCAGGGGCTAAAGATCTGGAGGCTTTTTTGTAAATTAAAGTTGGTATCTCCTCAAGGGCACTAGACTTGGTTTTAAGGGAAAGGATTATTTCATTAACATCAGTGGAATTTGTAGGCTTTAGGTACAGAGCCTGTGGATAGTTACCTGTAAGATAGTCCTGAACATCAGTACTGGAAGATGGAATATCAATTGCAAGGGATGACCCAATGGAAGAGAAGAACCTATTGAACTCAATAGCAGTATCAGAGGCTGAAAGCTGACCATCGTTATTGGACAGGATTATTGGTTTGTTATTTAAGATCTTCTTTGATCCCAATATTTGTGAAATTGTGCTCCATGTTTTTTAATGTTGCCCTTTGTTTGGGTAAATTTATCTTCGTAGTATTTAGTTTTGGCTCTTCTAATTATTTTACATAGCAATAATGAGTAATTTTTTGAAAATTCTTTGGATACGGTTCTTAACCTATACTTCTTCTCAAGGTCATGTTTTTTATTAATGGATTTAGGCCCTTTGTAAGCAAAGGATTGTTTAGCCTTTTGGTTCTGACTTGTTTCGTTAGCATAGGACAGTGGGTGTTATAAAGGCTGAGAGTTTTTTGAAGAAAAGATTGCACTGCTAGGTTGATGTCCCCTATGTTACCTAACTCGGACTCCCAGTTGACATTAGCAGCAGCAGCTATAAAATTGCCTATAGCAGTTTCATTGTGCAACCTAAAGCTTATCTCCCTTGTCTCTAGAGGTGGTTTGTTAATGTTAGTTAAGAGAAATGTGGGGTAATGGTCTGTAGTGCTATCGATGATTATACCTGAAGTAAGCGGAGAGGTTATGTTGGTCCAGATGTGATCTAGAGTCGTGGCAGTACTATCAGTGATTCCAGTAGGTCTAGTGATTTAGGGTATGAGGAAGCAGGAATTCATACAGTTGAGGAAGCTGGCAGCAGTAGGGTTTTCAGGCTCGCAAAGGTCAATATTAAAGTCCCCTGCAATTATTAGATGGTTTTTGTTCAGTCTGTTACCTAGTATTAGATTTCTAAGGTTTGAGTTGAATTCGGACACATCAGTGTTTGGAATTCTTTAGACTGCACCCACAGACAGGACAGACTCAGCACCTTTGACTCTGAAACTGGCGAAGATATACTCCCCACAGCAGTCTCTAATTCTAATTACTTTTAAGCATGTTAGTTCTTGGTGGTAGTAAAGAGCAGTACCACCACCTCGCAGAATTTGACGACAGTTGTGAATTGCTGAGTAGTTAGGCATGTTAAAGAGTTGAGTAGTATCCTCTTTTAACCACGTTTCAGTAAGTATAATTAAAGAGAATTTGTTGTCAATAGTTTCAATCAAGGCACTAACATCATCGAAGTGTTTGCTTAGAGATCTTACATTCAAGTTAATTACAGAGATATTGTGATTATGTATTAATACATTGTTGACATCATGTGCTGTAAAATATCTGCAGTTTTGACCATTAAAGTGATGATTGTCATAGATAGTGGATAAGAGGTTTAGTTCTGGGTCTATACTCGTCTGCATAAAAAGGCTGGTTGTAAGAAAACAAGGCAAGAATGGTAATTATAAAATAAAATTTTGATATAAAAGGGGGGGGGGAATATATAAACAAGACTATACAAAAGAAACACAAAATGAACAAAAAAAGAAAAATGAGGTAGAAGGCTTACAAGTACTCTCAGGTGCACTGTAAGTAATAATTTACATTTTGAGACACAGGCAAAGCCAGGGGTACAATGGAGTAAGGGAGTATGGCGAGGCTAGGCAAGCTAGGTAATAAATGACATCAAAGAAAAAAGTTGAATAATAAACATAGGCAAATTTAAGCTAATGATTATTAACTATAAAGAGTTTAGTTATGATCGTATAATTAATAAGAACTAAAGAAATATGAATGCACTCAATTAATTAAGTCCATTAAATGACTAGTAAAAAGTATATTAAAAATGAATTTTTATTTGTCACTCGTGTCACCTAGAGCCCGCACTAGGTGACACGGGTTTTAATTATGTTGACTCATTGAGAGTGATAATAAGGTGAGACAAACCATATTGGGAGAGGAAAGTGTTGAGGTTATCCTCATTAGCAATTGTAAACATTTTACCTCCTGAAGTCTTTCTCACTTTAATCATGCCATCTCTAACGAAGCACTGATGAATCGCATCTGGGGTTTGATGACGGATTGACGCAGGCGGTAGAGGAGTTGCTGTCTTTTTCTAGTCAAGCACTCGTTGATGTAGATTCCCTGTCGTCGGAATGCCGCTGTAAGGACAAGATGCGATCTCATGGACTGGGAAGCCAGTTTCAGGTGAATTTTCCGCTGGTTTTGTCCTGATGAATTCTTTTTGCTTACTCTGTAGCCAGCAATAATGTCTGTTTTATAAGTGTTTTATAGAGTGACAATTCAATTCTTACAGGCGATCATTTTCACAGGAGACCATTCTTTCGCGCGAAAATTTATACAGGCGACTATTCTCAGGAACGACAAATCTCACAAGCGACTATTCTCATTAGCTACCATTTTCAGAAGCTATCATTCTTATGGGCGACCTTTTCAAAGGCGACCATACTTATGGGCAATCATTTTTACAGGTGATCATTCGTTTTGGCGACCATTTTCACGGGCGACTATTCTATCAATCGACCATTCTCACAGGCGACCATTCTTAAGAACGATTATTCTCAAAGGCGACCATACTCACGGGCGACTATTTTCACAGGCGATCATACTTATAGGCAACCAATCTAATAGGCGACCATACTCACAGTTCTCATGAGCGTTCCAAGTTACCGTTCTCATAGGCGCCCATTCTCACAGGTGACCATTCTCATTAGGGTCTATTCTCATCGGGGGGGGGGGTCCATTCTCATGGGCAACTATTCCCATTGAACATTTTCATGGGCAGCTATTCTTATTGGCGACAATTCTCACAGGCGACCATTCTCATGGGCGATTATTGTTATGGGCGACCATCTTCATGGCCGGGAATTCTCCTGGGTGACGAATCTCATGGGGATCCATTGTCATGGGCATTCATTCTCATTGGCTACCGTTCTCTCCGGCGACCGTTCTCACGTTCGGCAATTCTCAGGGGAGACCATTCTCATGTTCGACCATTCCCTTGGTCGACCATTTTCACAGTTGACTATTCTCACGGGCGATCTTTCTCACGGGCGACCATTCTCATAGGTGACCATTCTCACAGGCGACATTTCTCATAGGTTATCTTGAGATGATTTCGGGGCTTTTTAGTGTCCCTGCGGCCCGGTCCTCGACCAGACCTCCACCCCCAGGAAGCAGCCCGTGACAGCTGACTAACACCCAGGTACCTATTTTACAGCTAGGTAACAGGGGCATAGGGTGAAAGAAACTCTGCCCAATGTTTCTCGCCGGCGCCTGGGATCGAACCCAGGACCACAGGATCACAAGTCCAGCGTGCTGTCTGCTCGACCGACCGGCTCCCTCAGGTGACCATTCTCATTGGGGGACCATTCTCATGGTCGACCTTTCTCACAGGCAACTATTCTCACAGACGACCAATATTACAGGCGATCATTCGCAAGGGCGACCATTATTACAGGCGACCATTCTAACTGGCGAACATTATCACAAGCGACCATTCCTATGGCGACCATTCTCATGTGCGACCATTCTTTGGGCTACCATTCCCACAGGCAATCATTCTCATGGACGCCAATTTTCACGGGCGACCATTCTCATGGGCGACCATTCTCACGGGCGACGATTCTCTCAGTCTACCATTCTCACAGATGACCAATCTCACAGTCCACAATTCTCACAGGCGACAAATCTCATGAGCTATCATTCTCATGGGTGACCATTTTCAGAGGCTACCATTCTCATGAACGACCATTCTCTCAGGCGACGATTCTTTCGGGCGACAAATCTCACAGGCGACTATTCTCACCGGCCACCATTCTCATTAGCTACCATTTTCACAGGCGTCAGTTCTTATGGGCGACCATTTCTACAGGTGACCATTCTCATTAGCGACCATTTTCACGGGCGACTATTCTCATAGGCGACCATTCTATTAATCGAACATTCTCACAGGCGACCATTCTTACGAGCGATTATTCTCACAGGCGACCATTCTCAGGGGCGACCATATTAATGGTCGACAGATCTCATAAGTGACTATTCTCACAGGTTACCATTCTCATGGGCGCCCATTGACAGGTGACCATTCACATGGGTGACCATTCTCACTGGCGACCATTCCCATCGGCGATCAATCTCACGGGCGCCCATTTTCACAGTCGACCATTCCAATTAGCGACCATTTTTACGGGCTACCATTCTCAAAGGCGATCATTCTGACAGGCGAACATTCTCACAGTCGACCGTTACCACAGGCAACCATTCTCATGCGCGACCATTCTCACTTTCGACAATCCCACGGGCGACCATTCTCACAGGCATCCATTCTAACAGGCGACCATTCTCACAGTCGACCATTCTCACAGTCGACCATTCTAACGGGCGACCATTCTCACAGTCGACCACTCTCACAGGTGACCATTATCACAGGTGACCATTCTCACAGGTGACCATTATCACAAGTGACCATTCTCACAGGTGACCATTCTCACAAGTGACCATTCTCACAGGTGACCATTCTCACAGGTGACCATTCTCACAGGTGACCATTCTCACAGGTGACCATTCTCACAGGTGACCATTCTCACAGTCGACCATTCTCACGGGTGACCATTCTCACAGGTGACCATTCTCACAAGACCATTCTCACAGGTGACCATTCTCACAGGTGACCATTCTCACAGGTGACCATTCTCACAGGCGACCATTCTCACAGGTGACCATTCTCACAAGTGACCATTCTCACGGGCGACCATACTCATTGCCGACTATTAGCTACATGTGCATTATTGACCTCAGTGGGTCGACTGGTAGTTCTGATAATGGGCAGTCTATTTCTGTTCCTGATCCGGACGACGACACTGACCACCACTCCGGCTCCAAGTATAATCGCTGCACACGACAGCCCAAGTATCAGGCCCGGGTTTGCTGTAAGGTCAGAAAACAATAGGAATAAGAACATTTAATTATGTAAGTGTATGGGATATTGGAGGGGATGGTTGGACAGCATTATCCTGGCATGTCTAAATGGTGTGGTGTACCCGCAGCACTGTGTACCTCCATCCCCAAGCACTGTGTACCTCCATCCCCAAGCACTGTGTACCTCCATCCCCAAGCACTGTGTACCTCCATCCCCAAGCACTGTGTACCTCCATCCCCAAGCACTGTGTACCTCCATCCCCAAGCACTGTGTACCTCCATCCCCAAGCACTGTGTACCTCCATCCTCAAGCACTGTGTACCTCCATCCCCAAGCACTGTGTACCTCCATCCCCAAGCACTGTGTACCTCCATCCCAAGCACTAGTACCTCCATCCCCAAGCACTGTGTACCTCCATTCCCAAGCACTGTGTGCCTCCATCCCCAAGCACTGTGTACCTCCATCCCCAAGCACTGTGTACCTCCATCCCCAAGCACTGTGTGCCTCCATCCCCAAGCACTGTGTAACTCCGTCCCCAAATACTGTGTCCCTCCATCCCCAAGCACTGTGTATCCCCAAGCACTGTGTACCTCCATCCCCAAGCACTGTGTACCTCCATCCCCAAGCACTGTGTACCTCCATCCCAAACTGTGTGCCTCCATCCCCAAGCACTGTGTACTCCATCCCCAAGCACTGTGTGCCTCCATCCCCAAGCACTGTGTACCTCCATCCCCAAGCACTGTGTGCCCTCCATCCCCAAGCACTGTGTCCCTCCATCCCCAAACACTGTGTACCTCCATCCCCAAGCACTGTGTACCTCCATCCCCAAGCACTGTGTGCCTCCATCCCCAAGCACTGTGTACCTCCATCCCCAAGCACTGTGTACCTCCATCCCCAAGCACTGTGTACCTCCATTCCCAAGCACTGTGTGCCTCCATCCCCAAGCACTGTGTGTGTGCCTCCATCCCCAAGCACTGTGTACCTCCATCCCCAAGCACTGTGTGCCTCCATCCCCAAGCACTGTGTACCTCCATCCCCAAACACTGTGTACCTCCATCCCCAAGCACTGTGTGCCTCCATCCCCAAGCACTGTGTACCTCCATCCCCAAGCACTGTGTACCTCCATCCCCAAGCACTGTGTGCCTCCATCCCCAAGCACTGTGTGCCTCCATCCCCAAGCACTGTGTCCCTCCATCCCCAAACACTGTGTACCTCCATCCCCAAGCACTGTGTACCTCCATCCCCAAACACTGTGTACCTCCATCCCCAAGCACTGTGTACTTGTGGGGAGCCGGTCGGCCGAGCGGACAGCACGTGGGACTTGTGATCCTGTGGTCCTGGGTTCGATCCCGGGCGCCGGCGAGAAACAATGGGCAGAGTTTCTTTCATCCTATGCCCCTGTTACCTAGCAGTAAAATAGGTACCTGGGTGTTAATCAGCTGTCACGGGCTGCTTCCTGGGGGTGGAGGCCTAGTCGAGGACCGGACCGCGGGGACACTAAAGCCCCGAAATCATCTCAAGATAACCTCAAGATAACCTCCATCCCCAAGCACTGTTTACCTAAATCCCCAGGCACTGTGTACCTTTATCCCCAAGCCCTGTGTACCTCAATCTCCAAACACTCTGTAGTTGGGCGACCATTCTCATGAGCGACAATTCTCACAGGCGACCATTCTCATGGGCGATCCTTCTCACGGCGACCATTCTCATGGGTCACCATTCTCACAGGCGACAATTCCCATGGCGGCCATTCTCATGGGCGACTATTTCCACAGGCGATCATTCTCATGGTCGACCATCCCAGGAGGGAATATGATAATTAAGATTCATTTAAATGAGAGGATTTTATGAAGCGGACTGTATGGTTAATTTCATCTTCTGCTGGATGTTATGGCCATTATGGCAACTCTTGCATGTACGTAATTGGGATGCGCAAGTACTGGGGTCATGAGGTTTTAAGCATCTGATGCATTTATTTAGCTCCTTAAGACGCTTTACTCTCGCAGTGCGATCATGGTCAGTTGTACATTGGTAAAGTGAACGTTCTTCTTTATAGAACAGTCTCTCCATCCCGTAGTAGTCTTAGGAGTCATAGCCTTGAGTGGCACAGTGACTACAGGTTTGGTGGGATTTTCTGTGCACGCATCTACACTGCCCTTTCTCCGCTTTGAAGTGGGAGTGGGGGGTTTTATGTTTATTTGACTTGTTTGTCGTACCTTTTGGTTTCACTGATTTATCAGAGATTGATCTGTTAGTGTCAGATGTTATTCTGTCATGTGCTTTCAGCCGATAAATAGTTATTCTTAATCCCTCAAAAATCTTATCAAGTGATAGTATATCTGTCCTATAATGAGAACAGATGGAGGCTATAATTTCTTTGGGGAATTTTCTATGACTCATTATTTTTAACACCCACTCTGGCTTAGGTACATCTGTCTTGGCACTAAGAGCTTGTACTTGAGACTCTACTTGGAGTCTAAACTCTTAAAGAGCTTCAGGTGTCGTATCTGGTGTAAGTATTGCTCTCAGTTTATAGTAGAAATTAGCTATAGCAATTTCTTTATTACTGTAGTTGATTTCTAACAACTGTATGACAGTATCGTAGTCGTCATCACTTGGAATCAGATAATCAATAATTGCCTTTGCTTTTTCCTTAAGGGTACTTCGCAAATAAAGGATTTTTTTTGTTTTGTTAATGGAACTTTTAGAGTTTCCCTAGTGAATCGAACGTGTTCCAGTAACATTCGAAGTTTTCGTCATCTCTGCCATGAAATTGAGGTAAATTAATGGCAGAAAGATTAACTTTATCAGGTATAATTCATGGTTCAGGTATATTAGTTCAACTTACTGTTAGAGCATTTTGAAATAAACAGTTTATATATAACCGTTCTAAGAACTGTATTAATTTATCCAGACGATATAAGACATCCTCCTCAAATTATTCCGTTTCGGCATGGAAGGTGTCTAATTTGTCTGGCTCAACATTTTGTTGTATGACGATTTGAAGATAATTATTTGCAGCCTCATTGGTTCTCTGTAATTTTTGTTTAGCCTATGTGGCTTTCAAGTTCTTTGGCTGTCACATTTGACTGAATCAACTGATCATACTTGTTCAGTTGTCGAGTCACATGACCTTTGTGACTCACGTATGATGAAAGGTACAACATACTGTTGCTGGACATTTCGTCTGTTACACAGTCTGCTAAATTCGGTTTGTTTAGCCACATGATTTCGTAATGGAAATAACTAGAGCACTGGCTCATAAACTTTGACAAATATTTTGTAATAATAGCCTAGGGTTATAATTTTCAGTAACTAGGCTATTTTTATCCTACCTCATGTAGAGGTTGGCACACATATGTTAAATAGTCAAGATTTGAGTGGTACTCAGTATCACTACAGGATGTTCCTCGGATTAGCCCTTCATTATCGCCTTTGGATGGAGTAGTGATACCTTTGGATAGTAGTGATACAATAAAATAATGTAAGATTGGTAAATATAAAAAACACAATTCATGTAGTTAATAATTCCTATCCTATTATGGATCTGAACTTGAACTGAATTAAATGGTTGCTAGGTTGTACATTCCTTAGTACAATACTAGCTAAATAGTAATCCAACCCTTGTTGGGTCAGCACAAATAAACGAATTAGGCTAGGTTGTGACTCAGTTCAGCTCTAGCCTAAAGTTGTCTTACTCACATATAAGGGTTGGCAAGAAAATTATATAAAGTTGTACAAGAAACAGTGTGGTGCAATATTTTGTTTGGTTTTTGTTTTATATATGAGAAATATACACAGATTATGTTTGGCCTTCTCACCACAACCTCTTAAGGTAATTGATAGTGTTAGACTTTGTATTGTTTGGCAGTTGAGTTGAGTATTACTTTTAATTGCTAACTGAGGTTAGCCAAGTTAGGCTAGAAAATAATGGCAGGCTACTTGCTGCTATAGTTTATAATTTTTTAGTTTATAGTTAAATTAAATTTAAGAATAGCCTAATTTCTGGCTATACAGGTTCACAGGACCAAATTTTATTATTTTTTGTCCGTAAACCAGTATGTGTTAAATTTGATGCACTGGTTTATTTGTGTATAGTCTAATTTTGACTATCCGGTTCGTAAAGGACCAAAATTTATATGAAAAATTTTCTAGCAGGGAATTTGTTAATTTAGATTCATTTAATCTAAATTCATTTAGACGGTATGAAGTGGATTGTATGGCTAATTTCATCTTCTGCTGGGTATCACCCTGGACACGTATATTGGGGGGTTATTCAATAATAATATATCATCCGTATATCATGGATTGATAACAAATATATATATTGGTTATTTAGCTAATCTATTTGATGTTATGTGAAGTACTATGTGAGCTTATCTGTCTATAAGTTTTCCACATAAACAATCAGAAACATAGGAGCGGACAACAATTGTGGGCCGGGCAACAAATGTGCGCCTCGTGGCTACTGCGTCACTGCTCTGTCGAGTGTTGAAACAGGTAGACTGGACTCACAGGTCGTCACAGAAGATCTACCAAAAGGTCACAACATAAAAATTGCTTCAACCTACTATCTCATGGCATTATTAGACAAATCAGAAAGTTATTTAACAAAGAGCAGCAAGAGGCTCACTCTGTTTTGTTATTAAGAATGCCTCGTAACCTGGCTTAATCACTGACTTTCCCGACCTCGAAAATAAAAGTAAAAGCATTTAAATACAACCGGGACAAGGTCTCTCGTAACTGAAGGATGTGGCAGCAGAAGTAGTGATGACCCGTTCCACGAGCACAAAGTAACTGCGCAAGCGAGCACCTCACGAGAGCCACACTAGTCTTCTTTTTTTTTTAGATATATACTTGTTACATTCTTGTACAGCCACTAGTACGCGTAGCGTTTCGGGCAGGTCCCTGGAATACGATCCCCTGCCGCGAAGAATCGTTTTTTCATCCAAGTACACATTTTACTGTTGCGTTAAACAGAGGCTACAGTTAGGGATTTGCGCCCAGTA